AAAAAAAAAAAAAAAGAATTGAGATGCTGACATGCTTTTTCTCCCCCAGGTTCACAACAAATGCCTGGGCCCCCACATTCTCTGCTCATCCCCGGAAATGAAAGGGTTGACACCAGGTAGGAATATTATGGATTTGGAAACACCCTTCTGCCCTCAGTCCCTGCCTCCAGCCAGGCCAGTCTTCTGCAAGGGCGTGTGTCCTATAGGGCTACTGCCAAGTCATTGCTCTCACAGTTGTCCTCTCTTGGGCTGCCCTCCCTGGCTCTTGGGGTCTGGCCAGCCTCCTTCCCTGGTGACCTTGGGGAGGCTACAGATAGATCCCTTCTCTTTTTAGGATCCCCCTGGGCCCCACAGTGTATGTTTATGGGCCACAAGTTACCCACTGTTAGGGAGTAAGGGGAGAAGGCAAGGCCAGGTAGAGGCTATGGGATTATCCCCATCTTCCCCACAGTTCTGGACAGACCCTACATCACCTCTCTGGGGCTTGTTAGGACAGGACGGGAAGCCTGTTTTGCCTACTTAATGGGGTGCAGAGGAGAGAAGGAATTCAGGTTTCCTCAGACATCTGCAGAGAGGATTTGCTCCTTCCTGGGTGATAGGGCAAAGTCTGTGATGACTCCTGCAGACAGAAAAACTGAGGCACCAGGGCAGGGGGAGATTCAACCTTTCAAGGTCCAGGGCCGGGGGCAGCTACAATGCCATCTTCAGGTCTGTGGCCTGATTTTTATTTATTTTCAGACAGAGTTTCATTATGTTGCCCTCGGTAGAGTGCTGTCGTGTCACAGCTCACAGCAACCTCAAATTCTTGGGCTTAAGCAATTCTCTTTGTGACCTGATATTTAAACAGGAGACCCAGTGGGCCAGGGAGGAAAGGCCCAAGGAGGCGAGAAGTCTCCCTTCTCCTGTTAACTCCAGAGGGGCCTCCCAGATCTCCTGCCCTCCCTCCCCCAGGAAGCTGGGGCAGAAACCTGAGACTCAGCCTCCAGGTTCAGGCTGCCGGGGGCCAGGCCTCTCTCTCCCGCCCGCCTGGCGGCCAGCCTGGCTGTTGTCACAGGGATGCAGAACAGGTAGCTTCTGTGGCACCCTCAACCCACCTGGCCTGTTGCTCCAGGTGCGGCCTCCAGGCCCTAGGCCAGAGGGAGGGGCGAGGCCCCAGGCCGCCAGCTTGTTTCACTTTGAGCCAGTCCTTCCTCTTCCTCACCCCCAAACCATGCCGGACCCCCCTTTCTGGGAAAACCTGTGGGTCAGTCACAGCTTCCTCTGAACTTGCCTTCACCCAGCCCTAGAGCCTAAGGCCCCAGAGGGAGGCTGAGTTCCGCCTGAGGACCTAAGGCTTCTTGCCTGTCACAGACTTCTGCCCCCAACACTGGGAATGCACAGCTCCATACTGTCCACCTTTAGGAAAGTTCTGTGGCTGTCCCTGAGACGGGCCTACCCCTTCCAACCCCAACTGTGGGCACTCAGGGCAGGCCGTTCTTTGGGCCTTCCTGGACACTGCAGGTGCTGAGAAGCATCCCTGCCTCCACCTGCCCCATGCCAGGAGATACCACAGATGACAACCACAGATGTCTACAGATGTTGCCAAGTGTCCCTTGGGTGGGCAGCGGGGGCATTAGTGTCCTTGTCCAACGACATCTGGGAAGGGATGGCCCACAGAAATGCCAGTGCTGATCTGGCAGCCACTAGCCACATAGGGAACTGAGAGCCAAATACAAAGATTTCAAAGACTCTGGGCCAAAAAAAAAAGTAAAATATCACATGAATAACCTTTCATATTGATTTCAAGGTGAAATGGTTAGTATTTTGGCTATGTTGGGTTACATAAAATATATGATCAAATCAATGTCACCTCTTCCTTTTTCCCCCCTTTTTTTTTGAGACAGAGCCTCAAGCTGTCCCCCTGGGTAGAGTGCCGTGACATCACAGCTCACAACAACCTCCAACTCCTGGGCTCCATCGAGTCTCCTGCCTCTGTGTCCCAGGTAGCTGGGACCACAGGTGCCTGCCACAATGCCCAGCTATTTTTTGGTTGCAGCAATCATTGCTGTTTGGCAGGCCAGGGCTGGATTCGAACTCACCACCTCAGGTGTACGTAGCTGGCGCCTTAGCCACTTGAGCCACAGGTGCTAAGCCCCTTTCTCCTTTTTTTTTTTGAGACAGTCTTGCTCTGTGGCCCAGGCTGGAGTACAGTGGCATCATTATAGCTCAATGCAGCCTCCAACTCCTGGGCTCAGGGAATCCTCCTGCTTTAGCCTCCTGAGTAACTGGGACTACAAGTGTGGGCCACCATGCTTGGCTAATTTTAATTTTTATAGAGATGGGGTCTTACTATGTTGTCCAGGCTGTTCTCCCACTTTTGGCCTCCTTTGGCCCTCCTGTCTCAGCCTCCCAGAGTTAATATTTTTTTACTGGCCCCACCCAGAATGTTTGTTAAGTCAGAGGAGGAAATGCAGACTCCCCAGAGCTGGGTCAGGTTCTATCTGGGGAGAATTCCACATGGGCAGGCAGTCGCCTGTGACCCCAAACTTCATAAATCAGTTATTTAAACAAACCCTGCTGGCAAGTAGGAAGATGTAGGAGCTTGGGATGCATTCACTGAGCCAGCACAACTTTTTGGCTTGTCTGGGCTCAGTTTAGGCCTTCAAGGCACTCACGTTGCAAGAGGGGCATCAGAGGCAACCCCTGTCCTGCCTGCAGAGGAAAGCACACATGGTTGTGCAAAGTGGTGTTTATTCATGATGAAAATATTGAGCTCAAAAAAACTTGTGCTGAGAAAACGCTCAATGCTGTTTTTCAAATGGAGTGCACGTGCACGCACGCACACATACAAAGAGGGAAGAAAACACAAACATAAGCACTGAACGTGTGGGATTCTATAGTTCTCCTGAGACTCCTGATTTTGGGGGAGCTCACAGGTGCATGCCCTCTGTCCATGCAGCCCCTGGACAAGGCAGTGGTGTCATTCTGTCATCTCCAGATTTTTGAAGAATAACCACAAACTGCAAGGCATCTGTATAAAACCTTCTAGCCTCAGAGACTAAAGTGCCTGCTGGCCACGCTGTATACTGCCCCCTTCAACCTAAACCCCCATAAACTGAGCAAAAGCTGCATGTTTTACAGGCCTGCTGAGCCAGAGAAGCCTGTTATCTGCACTGATGAGGGCTTCTGGTCAGGGTAGGCGGGGTGACTCCAAATCAGGGAGCCACTGTTGGCCAAACTGCTGGGCACACCAGTGCCCTCAAGTCCAAAAGCGAGTGAGCTTCATCCTGTGGGTGTTGCGGTGGCGGGGAGAGGGCAGGGTTCGGAGGGAACCTTCTAAGGACAGTGGCACTTGTAGCAGGGACCCTTGCCCATGAGTTCATTCACAAAGGACCTGCCTTTACCTGCAAGCTGGGCTATAGGATAAGAGGGCCCTCACTGATTCTTGTCCCACAGAGCCTGTCACTACCTATCCTAGGTTGTTACTATGTTCCCAAGGCCCCCATGTCTGTTCACTCCTTGGGAATGGCAGGGGCCCTTTCAGGGTATTGGCCCAGTGATGCCACCTATGACCAACAGTATAAGGCCCCTTGGACCCAGGCACTAGAGCCTCTCACCTGGCTCTAAGGATACTCTGGGGGGAGAGGGTGTTCTTGGTCACCCATAGGGTGGCATCTTCAAACCTTTTAGTCTCTCTCTTTTGTTAAACCATGTGAAGCTTTGGTGGAAAAACATTAAGGGACAGAAACCTGGAAAATTCTTTGCAGGAGACACCAACTCATCTCCTATCCTCTTCCGTGTCTACAGCAAAAAACAAAAGCAACACATGCGACTAGAAGAGAGACACCCTAAGAAAAAAAGCACAATCCAGGGGTTCCCAGAGCACTGTAAGCCTCTGCCTTCTGTTCAGCCTTCTATAGAAATACAGGCCAGCAACCCTTCCCCTGCAACTTGCCCACAGATAAGTATCAACTTGTTTCTAGTCTTCAGGAAGTATTGGGGGTGGGGGTGGGGGGGTTCACAGCCCCCACAGCTATAGAGAGCTCAGAGGTGGGGAACCTAAAAACAGACCAACCCCCTTCTATTTCCAGCCCACAGGCACCTTCTCCATCAGTCTGAGATACAGCCCTGGGTCTCCACAACATGGAAACCACTGCAGAGCCTGCCAGTAACCCAAGAGACACTGAGCATTAGGATAAGACCGTACCCAGTTTCTTCTATAACCGAATGGCTCAAGGGACTGAAAGGGTGACGTGCTCTGGTGGCCACTTCTGATTTGCTGGGAGAGCAGAGGTGACAGAACCACCCATCCCCTTGCTGCAAGTGCAGGGGGAACACAGGTCTTATCTACTGGATCTGTTGGGGTTTTCAACCGCACAGACAGCTTGGAAACCCAACACTTCCTTTCTGTGGAGCCGGGTGTCAGCTCAGCTGCCACTGTGGGGAGCTAGAAGCTTCTGCTCTGAAGCCCTAGGACAGGGAGGGTGACACCATGGTAAGAGTTGGGTGACTCCATCATGACTTAAGGGCCTTGCTTTGCTCTTCCAATGGAGCAGAGATGGGGACAGCTACAGAGGGATACGAGGTGGTACTTCCCTCAGAGAAAACCACCAGTGTCTAGAAGTCTAGTCCAGGGATTTGTCCCCTGACAAAAGGGGCTAAGGCAGTTTTCTTCCCCCTTCTCTGTCCCCAGGACTGCCCTCCTGGGAAGCATCACCACTTGGGGCTAAAGAGAAGCCTGAGATCCAAAGCAAACAAATAAAGAAGTACAAAGGGCACGGATCGCTTTTTCTTTCCCTGTTTTGTATTTTTCAACCTAAGTAAGCAGGTTCTGAGACAACATGAGCAATATCACCCCTCCCCAGGGCCTGGAGGTGCCCTGGCCAGGTCAGGCAGGAAAAATCCACATCCCCATGAGTGCGTCTGCCTGGCCAGGCACTCTCCGAGGAGGGGCAAGCCAGGAAGGGGTGGGAGGCAAGGATGGGATGGTGGACAGGTCACCAGTGGGATGAGGAAGCCCAGACTGTCACACAGCTGTGCGTGTGGGTGTACTGGGCTGGTTCAACCGCAGCGTTTTACACAACCAGCCAGCAAAATCCACCTCTTCCACCTCGGACCGTTTGATGAAGGCGTGGTTCTGAAATGGAAGGGCAACCATAAGTGCCAGGCCCTGGTGCCTGCAGCAGGTGACAGGAACAGCCTCTGCCCAGCCCAGGGAATGACACAGGAGAGATAAAAGACCACTGGTCCCAGGACTTGCTCAAGGCAAGAGAGGGAAACCAATCCAGGGAAGCCAGAATTTCAGGGGATGGGGACACCACCACCCCGCAGCCTGGTGAGGGTCAGGTTGCTATAGACTCCTATAAGGCTGGGCTCTTCCCCCTCACCCGGTACTGTGGACACTGGGCCAAAATCACTCTCTGGGACGGGGCTGTTCTGGGCACTGCAGGTGCTAAGCAGTGTCCCTGCCTCTACCTACCTCATGCCAGGAGCTCCCCCCACAAAGGACGACCACAAATGTCCCCAGATATAGCCCGCTGTCCCCTGTGGGTGGAACTGCCCAGGTAGGGATGCTGGATAGGGACTGTAGCATCTGCTTGCCACGGGAGGCTCTGAATCCCCTGGAATGCAGTTCAGGTGGCTCAAAAACAGAATTTTGAATTTCTCTTCACATCAATGAATGTAAATTTCCTGTATGGGACAGCACAGCACTAGAAGGTTCCTGGTTTGAAGGGCTGGGTGAAGGCAACAGATGCCTTCTGGGATGGGATGAGGGTGTTGGGACTAGGGGGCCAACCATGGCGGGAAGGCAGGGGGCCAGTGAGGCTCAGAGAGGGTAGCATCTGGGACTGCAGCCCCCAAGGGTGCCCTCATTTCCATAAAGGTCAGCATCTGTTTGGGGGAAAAGCCAATGCTCATTCTATCTAGGACCATGGGCTATAAAGGTTACCCACAGAGCCTAATTTTTAAGCTTATCACAAAGTAAGCTATTTCAACATGAGCACCCGTCTTCTTTGCTTATAGAAACTAGTATTGCTATGTCAGACCTTCACTGACCAGATGGGAATGGCTACAGTGGTTTCTAGAAAATTGGATGGACTCAGACCCCTCCTACACGGGGCTCTGGTCTGGACTTTGTATTGAGAATGTAGCAGATGGGAACACATAGCTATCAGTGTGGGGTCAGAGTAGAGGAGGTGGCCTAGAGCCTTCTCAGGAGGTGCCACAGTGGAGACCTGTAGATAGGTGGCCTCCAGGGTATAGGAGGGTATTGTGTAAAGGTCCTGGGGAGGGGCAGAGAAGGGGTAGAGGGAGTAGTGGCAGGAAGGGGTTCAACCCTGCAAGGCTGTGTGGGAACCCACAAAAGGGTGTGGTACACTTAAAAAAATGCCACATTCCAACAACCCTAAGATGATCACTTCATGGGGCTGGACTAGACCGCCAGTCATGTGCCTCAGGCTGTGCCTGGCATCATCTTTCATTTCGCAAAGGTGTGTGAGATAGCAGTTATCCAGGTGTCTGCTATTGAAGGGAGTTCTAAGGTGGCTGATGGTGGACATGGCGTGAAAAGGTGCCTGAGGTGGCTCAGCACCTGTGGCTAAAGTGACTAAGATGCCAGCCACATACACCTGAGCTGGCAGGTTCGAATCCAGCCCGAGCCTGCCAAATAACAATGGTGGCTGCAACAAAGTATAGTGGCTATTGTGGCAGGTGCCTGGAACCTCCCAGCTACTTGGGAGGCAAAGGCAGGAGAATCACTTGAGCCCAGGAGGTTAAGGTTGCTGTGAGCTGTGATGTCAAAGCACTCTGCCCAGGCCAACAGCTTGAGGCTCTGTTTCAAAAAAAAAGGTACCCGAGGTGCAGGCCACTCACAAAAGTGACTCTAGGGCCCACCTTTATGGCCTGTCTCCTTTGTCCTCACCAGCTAAAGGTATGTTTGGGCAAACAGCTGGGCTTTCAGGGTACTGAAGGGTGTGAAATTTATTTTCCTTTTTATGATAGGGACTTGCTCTGTCACCTAGGCTGGAGTGCACTGGCAACAATACAACTTACTGCAACCTCAAACTCCTGAGTTCAGAGTTCCTCCTGCCTCAGCCTCCCAAGTAGCTGGGACCTAACATAACACTGGCTAATTTTTTTTTTTTTTTGAAACAGAGTTTCATTATGTTGCCCTCAATAGAGTTCTGTTGCAACATAGCTCACAGCAACCTCAAACTCTTGGGCTTAAGCAATTCTCTTGCCTTACCCTCCCAAGCAGCTAGGACTATCGGCACTCTCCACAAGGCCTGGCTATTTATTTTGTTATTGTTGTCATTGTTGTTTAGCAGGCCCAGGCTGGATTTAAACCTGCTAGCACCAGTGCATGTGGCGGGCACCCTGACCACTGAGCTATGGGCCCAGAGCCTCATTATTATTATTTGAAACAGTTTAAGATGTCACCCTGGGTAGGGTGCTGTGGCATCACACCTCACAGCAACCTCCAACTCTTGAGCTCAAGAGATCCTCTTCCCTCAGTTTTTCTATTTTTAGTAGAGACAAGTTCTTGCTTTTGCTCAGGCTATTTTTTTTTTTTTTTTTTTTTGAGACAGAGCCTCAAGCTGTCCCCCTGGGTAGAGTGCTGTGGCATCACAGCTCACAGCAACCTCCAACTCCTGGGCTCAAGCAAGTCTCCTGCCTCAGCCTCCCAAGTAACTAGGACCACAGGTGCCCACCACAATGCCCAGCTATCTTTTGGTTGCAGCCGTCATTGTTGTTTTGGCAGGCTGGGCTGGATTCGAACCCACCACCTTAGGTATATGTGGCTGGCACCTCAGCCACTTGAGCCCAGGTGTCGAGCCTCAGGCTAGTCTTAAACTCATGAGCTCAAGTGATCCACCCGCCTCAGCATCCAAGAACACTAGGATTACAGGTGTGAGCCACCTTACTTGGCCTTAATTTTTCTATTTTTTTTGAGACAGTGTGTCACTATGTTGCCCTTGGTAGAGCGCTGTGGCATCACAGCTCACAGCAACCTCAAACTCATGGGCTTGAGAGCGATTGTCCTGCCTCAGCCTCCCAGGTAGCTAGGACTACAGGCGCCTACCAAAATGCCCAGCTATTTTTGTTGTTGTTGCAGTTGTTGTCGTTTAGAAGGTCTGGGCCAGGTTTGAACTTCCCAGCCCTGGTGTATGTGGCCAGCGCTTAGCCAAATTTTTCTATTTTTAGTAGAGACAGGGTCTCACTCTTGCTCATGCTGGTCTCAAACTCTCCAGATCAAGTGATCATCCTGCCTTAGCCTTCTAGAGTCCTGGGATTGCCCTAGAGTGCGTGAATTAAAAGGGACACTGGGAACAGCTCTCATGGGGGCAGATGCCCCAAACTGCTGAATGGGGGTGTGACCAGGATGAAAGCATCTGGTTGCCTGGAGATCAACCTCCCAAAGTTTGAGAGGAGGAAGAGCAAGAGAAGGGGGTATTTAAGGACGCTGAACTACTCCAGGCCTGAGAGAGAGACCTGCCCACCCAGGGTGTGCAAAACAGGGAAGATCATCACTATCTCTGGTGACACAGGGAAAGGTACCCACAAGCTATAGGCCACGTCCAGATGCTCACGAGGTCCGAGGCAGGGGCAGCCAGATTCTAGAGCCCATGGGTGACCCCAAGCAAACACCTGTCCCCCAGGATCTGGGGCTGGGCAGCCAGGCCTGGATGGCCCCTGCTAATGGACGAGGAAGATCCTTTGAGGGTCCTCAACAGGACCCCAAAGCCCCCACCTACACCTCATGGGCCTTACTCACCATGAGTATCTTCAGGTCTGCGCGCTCTGCAGGGTTCTTGATGAGGCTGGGGTTCCCAAAGAGGGACAGAGAGGGGAGGACATGAGACAGGTAGTTAAACAGGGGCACTGGGGGTACCTGTGTTTTGAGTTGTAGCTTAGAAGCTTATCCTGTCCCTGCTGGGATCAAAGGCTCCAACTCTGCCCTTTGGTGCTGGGTGCATCAGGGTGAGGGAAAGAGGGTGGGAATCCCCTGCCTGCCTGGTCTGGTAGAAGCCTGGCAGAAACCACAGCTAAATTTCTAATAAAAACCCCAAGCCTGGGATTGAGAATGTCAAAATAGAACTTTCTCCTTCAAAAGAAGCAGAACTATCTAAAGGCAGCAACCTGAATCACCTCAAGACTAAACGGTGGCTCTTCAGACATAAAGACCCCTTGCACAGACATAAAAACATGTACATGGCCTGACACAGGTCTGTGCAAAGGGCCTGTGGCACCTTTGCTACTAGAAGCCTGACTTCAACTTTTAAGTTATGTCATGAGCCCCAGTGCAGCAAGGGACACAGCCCAGCAGGGAAAGGGTGTTGGCTTCCCAGGATGCCCAGGTATACCATTAAACTCTGCCACTGGGCTGGGTTCTGACAAGCAGGCCTGCCTGGGATCTGGAAGGAATGGCACACATGGGTCACAGCCAGGACTGTTGGTGCCCCAGCCTGGAATCAGACACACACCCACCCCACCCTCCCAGGCCTGAGCCCAAATCCTCACCATTTATTTACAAACTCCTGGAAGTCTGGGGTGAACACGCTGTTGGGCAGCTTGGGAGGAGGCTGTAGGGGAGAAGAGATAGATGTATATATGTAGGGATGCTGTGAGGACCTCTTGTAGCTCATCCCACCCCCCTGTGCCTACCCAGAGCCAGTTTCCCAGGAGCTCATGGTTAGGGGCAATGGCTGGCTGAGGGATGGAGGACAGGGCTCACGCTCATCCATGGGCAGGAACACCTGTGTCACCTGCCCCGAGTGACACTGGCTATCTCAGAATGAGCCACAGGTCTGAGCTGGAGAGGGTGGCCCAGCATTCATGTTCCTGAGGTGGGGGGTGGCAGTGGAAATAACTGCTGTTGTGCAGGGTCAGGCTTTTCCCGCTTGGGGGTGGGAAGACGTGCACTCTGAGCCTGGGCGTTGCTGCCAGGTGCAGGGAGAGCTGTGTCACCAGGGCTACTCCACCCTTTTCTATCGTGTCACTGAGCCAGCTTAGAGCTGCTCACCTCGACACCCAACCCCAGGCCAAGCCCAGGGCTGTGGGCAGTCAGCTGCCCTGCTTCTCCACCCTAGCTCCAAAGGGCCACCAAAGACACACAGAAGCCCACAGAAGGCCCGGGAGGGTCCTGGCCTAATGATGGGGCTAATAGGGAGGGCTTTGAGGGTGGTGCTGTCTCCCACCCCCTGCCATAGCTCTCTGAGAACATCACCCTCCTGCCCTAGGCATTGAGAACCATAGTGTGCACTCAGGAAAATGTACCCTTGTGACCTGTGGATCCTTTTGGAAAGCTGTGGCAAGGGACTCCTGTTCTTCCTAGGCCCTCCCTACCTCCTGATCAGAGACAAGAGCCCTACCTGGATCTTTTTACAAGTGAGGAGGATTATTTATGAGCTCATGTCTATGGACTCCACAAAGCTCAGGGGAAGAGACTGGATTACAGAGCTCAGCCCTAGGCCATAGGCACACACTTCCCTCTGGACTTTGAGAGGGGGCTGGAACAGGAATTCTGGGTAAACCCCCCTTGGGGAGAGCTGGGCTTATGCAGTGCAGCAGGAAGGCAGGACACGTGTGTCAACACCTGACAACCTCCTACTGGAAAGAGTATTCTAGATCTCCTCCTGCCCCTTCCACCCCCAAATCCACAAATGGTCCAATTTTCTTCTTTCTGGTAATGCAACCCAGCAGGAATGGTGGGATACCGCTAGGGTAACAACATGTGGGGCACCGAGTACAAACCTCATTCACAATGTAATCCAGTAGCTCGAAGATGGCCATAGCTGGCCGACTGTCCAGCCCAGGACCTGCTGGGGAGGGGCAGACACAGGTGTGAGACAGGCAGGCAGTCATGCTACTGCTCTTGGAGGTCAGGGTCTGTGGATGCTGAACACGGCCAAGCACCCTCCTCCCCAGTACAACCTCAGCTAGAGACAGGCATATAAGACATGGGATACAGGCTCCCTGGCTACTTCACGCCTGAGCTTATGTCTCTGGGAAAATAAATTCTCTCTGTGCCTCTTGTGAGTTTAAAACAACAGTAACAACAAAAAGCTAAAAGGAACACGAGTGTTTCGTGAGAAGTCACACATTTGGCATGGCACTGCTTACAGGCAGTGCCAAAGTTATCATCCCCCGCTTTTGGCAGGGTGGGGGGAGGGATGGCACTGACCGCAGGGAAGGACAGCAGCATGACCTTGCATGGAACTGCTGGTGGTGACAATGGCAAGCCCTGAGTGCCACTAAGGATGGTGCCTGGCAGAGGTGGCTGCCTCATGTCTGGGATCCAGGGTTGGGGGTTGGCAGCTGAACTTTCACCTCTGCCCTGTCCTGGATGAAATGGGCCTGCTGGGGATGTGGGCGGGAGAAGTGCTGGCAGGGATGAATCCTCACCCTGGGGAAAGGGGCCTTGACACCACCTGGCAGTTGGGGCTGGGAGGGGCTGGAAACAAGCCTGAGGACAAAGACATGGGAAGACACTCCTTTGGGTGAGTTTAAGATACTCAAGTAGTGTGGCTGAAAGGAAGGAACCAAACTTGAAAATACTACTAAAATCACTATCTGACAACCTCAATGTTCATTCACTGGTGAATAAACACAACGCAGTCCTTCCACACATGGGAATATCACTCAGCCTTAGAAAGAAAGGAGGCCCTGACACAGGCTACAGTATGGACAGACCTTGAGGACATTGTGCTCAGTGAGAGAAGCCAGACACAGAAGGACACACAGCGTGAGATTCCATTTATGTGAAATGTCCAGAAGAGGCAGGTCCACAGTGATGGGAAGTGGATTTGTGGTTACTGGAGACGGGGGAGGGGATGGGGAGTGACTACTGATGGGGACAGGGCTTCCTTTTGAGGTAATGAGCATGATTTGGAATTAGACAGAGGTCACAGTTGCACAACACTGTGAGTGCACGAAAACCCACCAAATTGTATACTATTTTTTTTTTGAGACAGAGTCTCACTTGGTTACCCTGGGTAGAGTGCTGTGGTGTCATAACTCACAGCAACCTCAAACTCTTGGGTTCAAGTGATCCTTTTGCCTCAGCCACCCAAGTAGCTGGGACTACAGGTACCCACCACAATGCCCAGCTATTTTTTAAAGATGGGGTCTCACTCTTGCTCAGGCTGGTGTCAAACTTGTGAGCTCAGGCAATCCACTCTCCTTGGCCTCTCAAGTGCTGGGATTACAGGTGCAAGTCATAGTGCCTGGCCAAATTATGTACTTTTAATGAGTGAATTGCACGGCATATGAATTATATTTTAGTAAAGTTGTTATAAAACCAACCAACTAACCACAGTCCACTACATGGTCCTTTGGACTTTAACTCTGCCCATCTCCTGACTTTAAAAGAAAAATTAAAAATCACAGGTGCCCGAGAGCTGTTTTGTGCTTCTGTCCATAGGCTGGGACCTCCCCTCATACTCTCCGAATGGTCATCAGGGTGTCTAGTATGAATACTTCTTGTGTCTGGGAGCTCTCCACTCATGAGGCACCTGCTCTGAGCCCTGGATTATTCTGCGGGAGCCCAGCTGTCCCGGGGGCCTGGGGCCTTCCGCTCCCTCCTAACTATGCCTTCTGTGTGTTGGGGCTCAATCCAATAAGCCACCTAAGGAAATTCAGAGTTGAATTCTTCTCAACATTAGGGCTGCCTGGAAGGTTGGCCTAGGTATAGCAGCGGGCTAACTGTGGGGTCTTGGGATGGTGGGGGAGGTAAGGGTATTTAGTGTGCAACTCTTTCCACTGTGCTGTACATTTTTGAGCACTTTCATGGATAAAATGTTGGAAAATCTAACCAACATAGTAAGGCTTGAATGACCACTCCTGCTTCTTGATCCTGCCAGCTGGCAACAACAGGTGCAGCTGCCCTGGACATAACAGGTTTGGGGCACTTGCTGCTTCCAGCTCTGTCCCCAGAAACCCCAGGACAATCTGAGGACTGCTGGCCACAGTTAGGACCATCCCGGATGGACAGGTGGCGCTGACAAGGGCCAGAGGGGAGGCAGCTGCCATCCTCAGGCAAACCAGTCCCTGTATAGGTCACCACCATCCAGACTGGAAGTTTCAGACTCAGACCATACCACTGATAGGGCGCCCAGGTGGTCTCGGCCGAGGCGAGATGCTGTGGGCCTCTCCTTCCAGCCCATCGGCCACGGCCCGGCCAAATAGGGCCTCCAGCTCCTTGGCGTCGGGTGGGGGGATGGGGTACCTTCCAATGGACAGCTCCACCAGCGACAGGCCCATGCTCCAGATGTCAGACTGCACCGAGTAGTGTGTGCCTTGCAACCGCTCTGGCTGTTGGGAGAGGCAGCAGAGAAAGATGCCAGGGGACAGGGACTAGAGAATGACAGACACTGAAGGTGGTAGGAGGACAGGCCTACCTCGATCCAAGTTCCAGCCAACCCTGTGTGGCTGATGAGCATCTCTCCACTCACCAGCCCCACACCCTCCTCGCAGTGCATGCTGAAGAGCCCTTGGCTCTGACTGGGAGCTGGTGCTAAGACTGTGGCTTCCGAGGAGCCAATAGGGCCAGGAAGGCTTCCTTCTCCACCCCAGTCTAAGATAAACTCCTCAGAACCTGCTCCTATTATCAACTAGGCAGGTTCCTGGACTCCCATCATAGCCTAAACATCTGAGTCCAATTTCTTGGTCCAAAAATTTAACAAGTGCCTTCATCTGCTAGATTTTCACCACCAAATAGAAAGGAACCAGGTAGGCACTTCCAGAGAGGTGGTAATGGAAATCAAATTTAAACAGAAAAGAGAAACCAGGACAAACAGAAAGCAGAGCAATGGGACAGGGCTTTCTGAAGACCTTTGCAGAAGGGAGCAGAGCTGACTGGAAAGGGAGAAGAGCCTAGAACATAACCTGAAAACTCACAGACATGTAGGATCGAGTTCCTACAAAGGAGTTGGCCATGGAGTCGATGAGCTGCCCGCTCACCCCGAAATCACACAGCTTTATCTCCCCTCTGGAGTTGACGAGGATGTTGGAGGGTTTCACATCTGTGGAGGGACAGGTCAGGAGGAGGAGACTGATGCCTGCCACCAACCCTGTTGCACTCTGGGTAGGGCTCAGGATGCTCCTTACCTCTGTGCATGATCTGGTGCTTTTCTCGTAGGTACGCCAAGCCCCGGAGGACCTGCAGGGGAACCATGGAATGAGAGGTCAGCAGAACAAAGGCACGAAGAGCCTTTTACCCTGGCCAGGCCCAGGGCCAGACCTGAGTGACCACAGAATGTAGGACCAGCTGAGGGAGCCCTGTTTCCGGTTGCACTAAGCTCATCAGGGTGGGGCAGAGTGCTGTGGCTTGACCTCAACTCAGTCATTCTCACACTACCACCCACCCATCAGAGAGGCAGACACTACCAAGGTCTCTGTTTCAAAGCAGACGGGGCCAAGGCACACAGGAGCTAAGACAGCAGACCAAGGTCCCATCAGTGAGGGATCTGGGTATCAGCTGGGCAGTGGGTTCAGCCGCATTGAGCCAAACAGGCACTGTCAATTGACCAGGGCCGGTGCTAAGATCCCCCTAAACCAGTGGTTCTTAACTTTCCTAATGCCACAACCCTTTAATGCAGTTCCTGTGGGTCACGACCCACAGGTTGAGAACTGCTGCCCTAAACCAAAAGGTTAAGGTTCTGGAGTTTATTTGACTAAGTTATACCCTGGAAAGGAGATTCCCAGAAGTAAAACAAGTAACAACAAAAGGCCGACAACAGGCCAGGTGCGGTGGCTCACGCCTGTAATCCCAGCACTCTGGGAGGCCAAGGTAGGTGGATTGCTTGAGCTCATGAGTTCGAGATCAGCCTCAGCAAAAAGCAAGACCCCATCTCTACTAAAAATAGAAAAACTGAGGCAATAGGATCACTTGAGCCCAAGAGTTAGAGGTTGCTGTGAGCTCTGACACCAAGACACCCAACCCAGGGCGACAGCTTGAGACTGTCTCAAAAAACAAAACAAAACAAAAATAAAAGCAAGTAACGACAACAGTACTGACAACAGCTCTCACTTCTGGATCCTGCTGGATTGCCAGCATCTTACTCAATCTCGATCTCATATCCTGCTCTGTCCATCGGCCTCCAGAAGCACTCATAGCAGGGAAGAGAGTGCAATCAGAGGTCTGGTATCCCACATTCCACTTACATGCCCTTTCAGCTGGCACCCACCTACCATAATGGGGACAGGAGTATGACCTTGGAGAGTCCCGGTAGGGGACCTGAAGCCCCAGCAGGGACATCATTTGCTCAAGACCCTGTGGCAGATGCATGTAGCCCTGGCCACCCTCTTTGCTGGGGCCACTTGAACCCTAGAGATGCAAAAGGGCAAACTTACTGCAATGCTGACTTTCCCCAGGATCTCCTCAGGAATCCTCTTGGCTTCTTTCAGCACCTGGTCCAGGGAGCCACCATCCTAGGGGAAAGGACAAAGTGGCCAGTCAGGAAGGGACAGCCTCCTTTCCCCGGGGGGGCCACAGTGAGAGGCATCAAAATGAAGCATTTCTGTGCTCTCAGTAAGGTGGGAGTCTGTTTCCCCTGGAGGAAACAGAGTGAAACCCGCATCATGGCAGGGAAGGTATGGGGCCCAGGGTGCCACTGTATTCCCTTACTGAGGTCACTGGGACAGGGGTTCTGCCCTAGTTTCTGCCAAAACCCAGCTAGAAGTACACACAACCCGGGGGCCCGCACTACTTCCTGGCTCATTCCTAGCAGGCCAAGGGGAGAGGAATATAAGGACAAAGAGTCACTGGAGACTGGGGGAGAGGATTTGAGGAAGGTCCAGATTCCCTCCTGGGGCTTACTTGCTTAGGCCTGATGGCTATGGCTTCATGTCTAGGCACCTGCCTGTCTTTGCCCTACCCCCATCCCTGTGAGAAAAGATGGGGCAGAGTGGGACCTGCCCGAGGGCATGTACCCTGCAAAAGTGACAACACCTTGGCCCCCTGGCCTATTATCCTGACATCTCCTACCTGCTGTGCTGGGCATCCTGTAAAGGGCCTGGACCTGAGTCATCCCAGTGGCACCCCCTTGACACCTGGGTGTTGCCCCAAACGCACCAGATGAACCAGGAAACCGAAAATCTGCTTTACCTAAGCTGCCTTGGCAAGAGACCTGGAGACCAAAATCTAGGGATTCTCTGGGGTGGCCCAATGTGCTTCTGCAGAGGTAGAGGCACCCAGACATACCCTCTGGCCACCTTGAGGACACCAGAGGTAAGTGTGTTTCACTTGGCAGGAGTAGGCAGGGAGAGAGGCCCCAGAACTCTGGGATGTTGGGTCACCCCACTCCAGAGACTTATGAGAAAATCTGTGGGGAGTTCTAGGAAATCCAGCACACTCTGAGGCCTCCAAAGCACACTCAGCCAGCTGAAGAGATGAAGGGACAGATGCACAGGGATAGGACAGGTGTGGCCACATCTCAGAAAGGCCAGGGGGAACCATAAGACCAGGTACTCCAACCAGCTTGGTCTGGGCAAGGTGCTGCCTGGCCCCACTCATAAACAGGGTTAAGATGTGAATTTTCTACATTCTTCATTTTTGTTTTATCAATCTTAAAATTAAGTCTTTTTAAAACTCTAATCCCTACTTCCTACTACAGCTCCTTATATTCTTAGAGTGGCAATAAACATTTGCTGCATGAGGATGTTGAGAAAGGACATTTGGAAAGGACATTTCCAGGGAGGTTGTGGTAGGGCTGGCACTGTGCTTAGAGCCTCATGACTTAACGCAAACACCTCCTCGTGGCAAGAGCATCTTTCTCTCTGCGCTAGGGTATCATCACTCTGGACACCAGAGCCAAACTGTTCTTTGGGTGCAGCCATCCTGGCCACTGCAGAGTACTGAGCAGTGTCCACTCAACTCCATGCCAAAATCGCACCCTAGTTGAAACAACCAAAATGTCTCCATGCAGTGCCATGTGTGTCCTGGGGGGACAGAATGGCCCGATTGAGAGCCCTTCATCTGCACCTGAGAAAACCCGAGCAGGGCAGGGTAAAGAACCTGCCTGCATCACAGAAACAGGATGTGGTATGGGAGATACTGCAACTAGGCTCCCAAATTACACTCTTTTTTTTTTTTTGAGACAGAGTCTTACTATGCTGCCCTTGGTAGAGTGCCGTAGTGTCACAGCTCATAGCAACCTCCAATTCTTGGGCTTAAGTGATTCTCTTATCTCAGCCTCCCAAGTAGCTGGAACTACAGGCACCCGCCACAACACCCAGCTATTTTTTTGGTTGTAGCTATCATTGTTGTTTGGCAGGCCTGGGCTGGATTCGAACAGGCCAGCTCTGGGATATGTGGCTGGTGCCCTAGCTGCTGAGCTAAAGGTGCTGCTGAGCCCCCAAATTATATTCTTTGTGCACAATTGTACATTTTTATTTTGTATGTGTGGGGTGTGTATTTTATTTTTTATTTTTTATTTTTTTTTTTTTGAGACAGAGCCTCAAGCTGTCCCCCTAGAGTGCCGTGGCATTACAGCTCACAGCAACCTCCAACTCCTGGGCTCAAGCAAGTCTCCTGCCTCTGCCTCCCAAGTAGCTGGGATCACAGGCGCCCGCCACAACGCCTGGCTATTTTTTGGTTGCAGCCGTCATTGTTGTTCAGCGGGTCCAGGCTGGGGATTCGAACCCGCCACCTTAGGTGTACATGGCTGGCGCCTTAGCCGGTTGAGCTATAGGCACCGAGCCTTAAATGTCTTTGAAATTGTACTTTTATTAATCAGGTAGTACATGAATGCATTTTTCTTTTTTTTTTGGAGACAGAATCTCATTCTGTCACTCTGAGGTTGAGTGCCATGGCACCATAGCTCTCAGCAACCTCAAACTCTTAGGCTCAAGGGATCCTCTTGCCTCAGCCTCCTGAGTAGCTGGGACTATAGGTACCTGCCACAATACCCAGCTAGTTTTTCTATTTTTAGTAGAGATGGGATCTCATTTTGCTTAGCATGAATGCCTTGTTCTTATAAAGAGTCCTATTTATTTATTTTTAAGTAGAGATGGGCTGTCACTCTTGCCCAGGCTGGTCTCAAACTCCTGAGCTCAAGTGATCCTCCCACCTCTGCCTCCCAAAGTGCTAGAATTACAGGCCTGATGGTATATGGCCTAAAGAATTCAAATGCAAATAAATAATCCTCTGATCTCTCATCAGTTCCTCCTTTGAAGTGTGACTGATATTCTTCTCTTCTTTTAGATCTTTCTATGCATTTGGAAATACAGAATTTAAAAAATATATAAATGACGTCACATTATGCATATTTTCTACTCTCCCCACTTTCATTCTCAAATTTTGAGAATTTTCTCACTTGGCACACATATATTTCATTTTGCCACTGCAAAGTGGCCTGATACCATTCTTTTTATTTTTTTTTAAAACAAGCTCTAGCAAGTTCTATTAAAGAAAAAATGTACATGATTTACTTTTCACCAGTCTGTTCTGGCATGCTTCTAATGATTGAGTCACTGGATCAATGATGGCCAGTGTGCATACTCTGTAGTATTTTCCACATGCTGTGCCCAATTCAGTATTATTGCCACTGTAGTGATGAACACCAGTTTTGGCTAACATGGCATAATACTCTATTTCAGATTTCCTCAAAGCTGGGCAGTTGTTGGCGAGGATGACCAATTTCGCTTTGCCTTTTCTGATCATCTTCAAAGTCTGCTTATACCCCAGCACATACTTTCCACTTTTCATAATGAGCTGGGGCCTTGAGTTGATCGACTCCAGCAACTTTTTTGTTTTCTTTGCGGCCACCATCTTCCTACCCTAGATGTGGGACGGCCCCCAACCAAGACCAGCTGCTAAGATGGCCGGGGACATTCTTTTGTTTTTATTTTTTGTGAGACAGGGTCTTGCTCTGTTAACCAGGCTGCAGTGAACTGCTATCATCTCACAGCTCACTGCAGCCCCAAATTTCTGAAATCAAGAGATTCCCCCATCTCAGCCTTCCACATAGCTGAGACTACAGTTATAAGTCACCACATCTGGCTTATTTTTCTATTTTTTGTAGAGACAGGGTCTCAATCTTGCTCAGACTGGTCTCAAACTCCTGGCCTTAAGCAATCCTCCCACCTCAGCCTCCCAAAGTGCTGGGATTATGGGCATGAGCCAGCTGCCTGGTCATAGTATCCCTTACTCAATGGACTTTACTTTAATCATGCCCTTACTAATGGACATGTGTGATATTCCATTAAGATAGAACAAGGGAGAACATTCTTTAGCAAATTTCATTAGACCCCAAGAAATGCCAAGAGGTGACCCTGAGTGTTCAGTAAACTGCCTATAATGCTCTTCTTCCTTGTAAGACACCAAAGCCCACTGGGTTCCTACCCAGAATTATTCTTCTTCTTCTTTTTTTTTTGCAGTTTTTGGCCGGGGCTGGGTTTGAACCCGCCACTTCCGGCATATGTGGCTGGCGCCTTACTCCTTTGAGCCACAGGCACCACCCCCAGAATTCTTCTAATAATAGATTCAGGTTATAGGGAGACAGCCAGCCCTGTTGGTTTAAGCCCCAGTCACTGCCAAGCACTGCCCATGTGGGGTTTAACTTTCTGTACCAAATCTATACTGCTTATAAAAATTATTATTACTATATTAACATAAAGATATTAACACATCAACTCTGAATTGTATAAGACATTCATTATATTATGGTTAGTGATAGGGATATATATATTGTCATGTAATATTACAAACATATAATAATAATATAATTAGAAGATCCCTTATAATCTAAAAGTCTTAGCTTGAAAGCCGGGGCTAGAATTTATCAGGTCAGAAACAAGGACAAACTTGTACACAGACCTTGTGTAGAGATGAAACTTCCCCTTAGGTCAGGGAACAACAGCATGACAGCACAGGGACACTGACTAGGTAGAATGTCACAAGACTAGAAAAAATGCAAAATGAAGATGAGGTAGAAATACATGGAAACAGCTACAGCTCCAAGGACAATGACTAAAACCTATTTTAACACGCTGCACGTGCCCAAGATACTCCCTGGTGAAGATTCAACCCTTAGTTTACAATCAACAACCTCCATGTTAAAAATAAATTTTTTTTTTGAGTCTTGCTTTTTGCCCAGGCTGGAGTGCAGTGGTGCAATTATAGCTCATTGCAGCCTCCCAAGTAGCTGAGACTACAGGTGCATGCTACCATGCCCAGCTAATTTTTAAAATTTTTTTGTACAAATAGGACCTTACTATGTTGCCCAGGCCTAGTCTTGAACTTCTGGCTTCAGCAATCCTGTAAACCTGGTCTCCTAAAGTATTAGGATTATAGGTGTGAGCTATCATATTTAAAATATTTTTAGTTTTTTTATTTTTAAAATTATTTTTTAGTTGTTATGGGTACATAATAGTTTTATATCTTCATAGGGTACACATGGTATTTTGGTACAGGTATACAACATTAATTAATCACATCAAGTATTTGGGTACCTACCACTTCAGGCATTTATCATTTCCTGGTGTTAAGAACATTCCAATTCCACTCTTTTAGTTATTTTAAAGTATACCCTAACTTATTGTTGATTACAGTCATGTTGTTATGCTATCAAATATGGTTCATTCTACCTAACTATATTTTTGTATCCATTAACCACTATCACTTTATCCTCCCACTATCCTTCCCAGCATCTGTTATCCATCATTCTATTTTCTTTTTCTTTTTTTGAGACAGAGCCTCAAGCTGTCACCCTGGGTAGAGTGCCGTGGCATCACAGCTCATAGCAACCTCCAACTCCTAGGCTCAAGAGAGTCTCCTGCCTCTGCCTCCCAAGTAGCTGGGGCTATAGGCGCCCACCACAACGCCTGGCTATTTTTCGGTTGCAGCCATCATTGTTGTTTGGCAGGCCTGGGCTGAGTTCGAACCCCGCCAGCTTAGGTGTATGAGGCTGGCGCCTAAGCCGCTTGAGACACAGGCACCGAGCCCATCATTCTATTTTCTATCTCCATGAGACCAATTATTTTTAATATTTAGCTCCCATGTGACTGAGAACATGTGAGATTTGTCTTTCTGTGCTTGACTAACTTCACTTTACAAAATGTTTTCAAGTTCCACTGATGTTGCCGCAAATGGCAGGATTCCATTCTTTTTGTGGGTGTATAATATTCCATTGTGTCTATGCACCATAATTTCTTTACACATTGATAGAGACTTGAGCAGATTCCAAATCTTGCTGATTGTGAATAGCACTGCAATAGCACTAGTGTCTTCATATTATCTACAAACAAATATAATTTGACTTTCTCCTTTCTCATTTGAATGTCCTTTATTTCTTTCTCTTATCTGATTACTTGAACTTAAAACTTCCAATACTGAACAATAGATCGCTTGAGTCCAAGAGTTTGAAGTTATTGTGAGCTAAGACACCATAGCACTCTACCCAGGTGAAAAAGTGAGACTCTGTCTTAAAAAAAAAAAAAAAAAAAAAGGGCTCGGTGCTTATATCTCAGCAGCTAGGTAGGGCGCCACCAAATACACTGGAGCTGGAAGGTTCTAACCCAGCCTGGGCCTGCCAAACAACAATGACAATTATAACTACAACACCAGCAACAAAATAGTTGGGTGTTGTGGTGGGTGCCTGTAGTCCCAGCTACTCGCTTAAGCCCAAGAGTTTGAGGTTGCTAAGAGCTGTGATGCCATAGCACTCTACCAAGGGCAACATAGTGAGACTCTGTCTCAAAAAAAAAAAAAAAAAAAAAAAGACAGTGCCTATGGCTCAAGGAGTAGGGCGCTGGCCCCATATACCAGAGGTGGTGGGTTCAAACCCAGCCCTGGCTGAAAAAAGAAAGTGGGTAACCTTGTTTTGTAACAGACCTCAGTGTTAAGTCTTTCAGTTTTCCCCCATTCGGTATGATACCATAGGCCTGCCAAATGTGCCTTTTATCACCTACACTTTTTTTTTTTTAGATCATAGATCCTATCAGAAAAAATCACGGGCATGTGGGCCACAGTTGAACGAGTATTATTTATTTGTGTGCTGTATGCACAGTCCACTGCCCCCAGCTTGTTATAAAAGCAAAGTGGGGCTGGGCATGGTGACTCACACCTATAATCCCAGTACTTTGGGAGGCAGAAGCAGGAGGATCACTTGAGGCCAGAAGTTGGGGACCTATAGCAAGACCTCATCTCTACAAAAAAATCTTTTAACAAAAGGCAGGAAAAACCTGAACTCAGAGCATCTATATAATGGGCCAACAAACATAGTCAGGATGGCGCCTGTCTCCTCCTGCATGTGGTACAGGTGGTGCCTTGCTGGGTTCAGTGCCAGCACTCACTCTGGGAAGCACTGTTTTAAACTAAGAACAGAAAGATCCCCCTTTTCTGCATGGGGTACAGGAGGCCTGAGAGCTAACTCTGCAACATTAAGAGGGTTATGCAGAACTCCCGAGCAAGGGAGAGAAGGGGGAGGGCACCGCAGCACAGAGGGGACACAGAGGGGCCACCTCAGACCACAAAGTGTTTCCTCATCTTCATGTCACCCTTTGATTCTCACCTACACCATGACTCTGCAAGGCGGGTACAGATATAATGCTCCCTTCCCAGGTGAGAAAAGGGGTTTAGTGCCAAGACACTGCCTTGTTCAGATCACATGGCCAAAATGGGGCCCTTGCTCAAATTCATTTCCTGTCTTTATTACAAAACTGTCAAAGGGCAGCATGTTTATAAGGTAGAACTGAGGCTGACATGCCTGAGGTCAAGTGCCACCCTGGTTTTGCAAGTGGTAGTATGCAATGGGTGTCTGATACCTGATGGGGTCAGTTTGGCAAGGTGGTCGGTGGCATTTCCTCCTGGGGCCATAGGCTCTGACCACTTCTGCTTTCATTACACTCAATCCCACCCACATCTGGGCTTCAAAACCAGAGTGTCTTAACAAGGGTGTACATGGGAACCCTAAGGCACAGGTCTGGGGTGGGCGGGGGGGCAAACACAGGCCTTCCTTGAAAAGCTCAGAGCTAAGGCCAGGCATGGTGGCTTACACTTGTATTCCTAGCAATGGGGGAGGCTGAGGTGGGTGGATTGCCTGAGCTCAGAAGTTCAGAGACCAGCCTGAGCAAGAGTGAGACTCCATGTCTGAAAATAGCCACATGTTGTAGTGGGTGCCTATAGTCCCAGCTACTTGGGAGGCTGAGGCAAGAAGATCACCGGAGCCCAAGAGGTTGCTATGAGCTATGATACCACAGCATTCTACCAAGGGCAACAAAGTGGCACTCTGTTTCAGAAAAAAAAGAAAAGAAAGAAAGAGAAAAAGAAAAGGCAAAGCAAGGCAAGGCAAGACTCAGAGCCAAAACAAAAGTGTGATCTCGTCTTTACCAGTAAGAGAAAAAATTAGCTGGATATGGTGGTACATGCCTGTAGTACCAGCTACTTGGCAGGTTGAGGTAATAGGATAACTTCAGCCCAGGACTTTGAGGCTACTGTGAGCTATGATCAAACCACTATATTCTAGCCGGGTGACAGAGCAAGACTGTCTTAAAAAAATAAAAAAAAACAAAAGGAAAGGCAACCTGTTAGGGACCCCTTCCATTGTATTGGAAGCTTTCCTATCCATCCTCAATAAACTATCACTCTATCACTTAAAAAAAAAAAAATAGCTCAGGTTGCCACATCTTCCATATAGGGCAATTTGGCAACAGTGATCAGTTTTTTTGTTTTTTGTTTTTTGGCCAGGGCTGGGTTTGAATGTGCCACCTCCAGCGGGGGTGGGGGGGCTACTCCTTTGAGCCACAGGCACCAACCCAGTGATCAGTTTTTAATTGCACATGACCGTGAAGCCAGCAACGCCACTGTGGGGCTCCACCCCACAGGTGTACTTGCTCATGTACAAGGACACCCAATGTAGCATTACTCCAGATGGAGTAGGGCCTCGACACATCTAAATTGTCCCCAGCTAGGGAACACATTGTGCTCAATGCTCCCATGCCAGTCCATGCACATGCAGGACACTACACAGTGAGTAGAAGGATGAAGGCATCTTGCTTCATGCTGTCAGGGAATGATATTCATGATATACTGTGTGAAAAAGCAAAGTTGGATAGAGGGTATGAATGTTTAAAAAAACAAAGATATCTGACCAGGGGTGATAGTTCATGCCTATAATCCCAGTACTTTGGGAGGATGATTTGAGACCAGAATTTTAAGACCAGCCTGGGCAACATATGAAGACCTATCTCTTTGGAAAATTAAGAAATAAGCCAGATAGTCCCAGCTATTAGTGAGGTTCAGGTGGGAGGATTACTTGAGCCCAGGAGTTTAAGAGTACAGTGAACTATGATTGCAGTACTGCATTCCAACCTGGGTAACAGAGACCCAGACCCTAAAAAACAAAATGAAACAAAAAAGTCATCAGGAGGCTAAGGTAAGAGGATCACTTGAGCCCAGGAGTTAGAGACCACCTGGGCAACACAGTGAGTCCCTACTGCTAAACAAACAAACAAACAAACAAAAATCCCCAAATGCATCTACATACACACGTGCTTTTATATGGGTACTGTGTGTCCCAGAAGGATTCCTTGGTAACTGGTGTGTTATAGCTTCTTCTTTTTTTTTCTTTTTGAGACAGAGTCTCACTTTGTCACCCTTGGTAGCGTGCTGTGGCGTCATAGCTCATAGCAACTTCAAACTCTTGGGCTCAAGCAATTCTCTTGCCTCCTGAGTAGCTGGGACTACAGGTGCGTGCCACAATACCCGGCTATTTTTAGAAATGGGGTCTCATTCTTGCTCAGGCTGGTCTCAAATTCCTGAGCTTGGGCAATCCACCTGCCTTGGCCTCCCAGAGTGCTAGGATTATAGCTGCAAGCCACTATGCCTGGTCTCAAGTTGTAGCTTCTGAGGACAAGGGCTTTGAGGATCCACATAGGGAGACTTTTCTCCAACACTGTTCTGTTCCAGGTAAGTTCCTGGTCCTGGGCAAAACTGGTCATGAGTCTGGGGATTCTGAGGCCTTGGCCTCCAAGTTCCAGGGTACCCCTGTACTCACCATGTGCTCCATGCAGATGCTGATCTCCCCATCACTGTAGAAGGCCCCGTAGAAGCCGACGATGTATGGTGAATTGCACTCGTGCAGAACCTGCAGCTCTCGAATGATTTGGTTCCGGATGGCTGGCTTGATCTCCAGGTGGATCAGCTGCCAGGAAGAAATGCCAAAACTAGGCCACTTAGGGGTCCCAGAAACAGGAGGTAGGGGTGTGGTAGAAGGGGGTATTTTGGCCCTTTGCCCTGGAGGCATCCACTCAACAATGTTGAAGATAAACTGAGCCACCTGGGAATCCAACTCTGAGGTATCTGCCCCAGAGAAGTGTGCATATGCACCTAAACAGAAAATTGTCCACAATATTCACCAAAATATTGTAGCCAAAAGGTAGAAAGAGCCCAGATGTCACTCACAGATGAGCAGACACACACAAAGTGGTCCATCTACACAATGGAGTATCATTCAGCCGTTAAGTGGAAGGAGGCCATCCACAGGCTACAATGTGGATGGACCTTGAGGACATCGTGCTCAGTGAGAAAAGCAGACACAGAAGGACACACAGTGTGAGATTCCATTTATGTGCAATGTCTAGAACAGGCAGATCTACAAAGATGGGAAGTGGATTCGTGGTTGTCGCTGTTGCCCTGGGTAGAGTGTGCCGTCAGAGCTCACGGCAACCACCAACTCTTGGGCTCAAGCAATTCTTTTATTTTAGGAGAGACAGGTTCTTGCTTCTGATCAGGTTGATCTCAAATTTGTGAGCTCAAGCGATCCACCTGGCTGGGCCTCCCAGTGTGCTAGGATTACAGGCATGAGCCATTGCACCTGGCCTAAAGGAAGCATTTTTGTTTTGTTTTGTTTAGTAGGCCCAGGGGTTTGAACCCACCACCCACAGTGCATGGGGCTGTGCTCTAACCTTGAACTATAGGCGCCCAGCGGAATGAGGTGTCCTTTGGGGGCAACAAGGATATTGTGAAATTGACTGTGGTAATGGATGCACAATGTGGTGTATATATTATAAACTACTGAACTGAATTACACACTGTACAATTAAAATACAAACTTTAAAGTGTATAAAATTATTAAAAGGGATACATTATATGGTATGTAACTTACTTCCCAATAAATTCTTGGGATGAAGAACGTAGTGAAGTGGCTATGCCTATAATCCTAGCATTCTGGGAGGCCAAGGTGGAATGATCACTTGAACTAAGGAGTTCCAGACCAGCCTAAGCAAAAGCAAGATCCTGTCTCTAATAAAAATAGAAACAGAAAAAATTAGCTGGACATGATGGTGGGTGCCTATCGGCCCAGCTACTAAGGAGGCTGAGGCAGGAGGATCACTTGAACTAAGAGTTTGAGGTTGTTATGAGCTAGGATGACACCATGGGACTCTAGTCTGGGTGACAGAGTGAGAGATTGTCTTAAAAATAAAAAAAGGGGAAAAAAAAGTAAAAAAGAAGAAAAAAACGGGGTGGCACCTGTGGCTCAGTGAGTAGGGTGCTGGCCCTATATACTGAGGGTGGTGAGTTCGAACCTGGCCCCAGCCAAACTGCAACAAAAAAATAGCCCGGTATTGTGGCTGGTGCCGATAGTCCCAGCTACTCTGGAGGCTGAGGCAAGAGAATCGCCTAAACCCAGGAGTTGGAGGTTGCTGTGAGCTGTGACACCACAGCACTCTACCGAGGGTGATAAAGTGAGGCTCTGTCTCTAAAAAAAATAAAAATAAAAATAAAAAAATGAGGGGGCTGGGTGTGGTGGCTCATGCCTATAATCCTAGCACGCTGGGAGGCCGAGGCCGGTGGATTGCTTGAGTTCATGAATTCAAGACCAGCCTGAGCAAGAGTAAGATCCTGTCTCTACTAGAAACAGAAAAACTGAGGCAAGAGGATCACTTAAGCCCAAGATTTGGAGGATGCTGTGAGCTAGATGACACCATGGCACTATACTCAGGGTGAGAGCTTGAGACTCTGTCTCAAAAAAATAAAACTAGCCAGATGTGGAGGCTCACACCTGTAATCCTAGCACTCTGGGAGGCTGAGGTGGGTGGACTGCCCTGAGCTCACAGATTCAAGGCCAGTCTGATAAAAGCAAGACCTCCATCTCTAAAAATACCTAGGTGTTGTGGTAGATGCCTATAGTCCCAGTTACTTGGGAAGCTGAGGCAAGAGAATTGCTTCAGCCCAATAGTTTGAAGTTGCTGTGAGCTATGGCACCACCGCACTATAGCATGAGTCCAATAGTCTCACTATTAGTGAGACTCTGTCTCAAAAAATAAAAATAAATAAATAAAACCAAGTTGAACAAGTGTTTTTTAGTGGGTTATAGTAGGAGCTGTGATAAGAATACTCCCTCCTTCACCCAAATCATACCATGGCAAAGTACTAGCCTTTCCCAAGACCCAGGCCAGGGGATACCCACTTCCCACCCCTGGGATGAAGACACCACACTGAGTCCAGTTAGCAATGACGAGCTTCAGGCCACTACCAAGGATTCTAACTCTCCTTCTACTTGAGTTCAGGTTGACAGAGGAAATTATCATAGAATTTATCCCAATATTTTTTTTCTTTTTTTTTTAAGAGACAGAGTCTCACTTTATCGTACTCAGTAGAGTGTTGTGACATCACAGCTCACAGCAACCTCCAACTCCTGGGCTTAAGCGATTCTTGCCTCAGCCTCCCAAGTAGCTGGGACTACAGGTGACTGCCACAATATCTGGCTATTTTTTTGTTGTATTTTGGCCGGGGCCAGGTTTGAACCTGCCACCCTCGGTATATGGGGCTGGAGCCCTACCCACTGAGCCACAGGCACTGCCCATATCCCATTATTTCTTTTCTCTCTTTCTTTGAGACAGAGTCTCAAGTTGTAGCCTGTGTAGAGTGTTCTCGCATCACAGCTCACAGCAACCAACTCCTGGGCTCAAGCAATTCTCTTGCCTTAACCTCCCAAGTAGCTGGGACTATAGGAGCCCACCATAATGCCCAGCCATTTTTTGGTTATAGCAGTCATTGTTGTTTGGCAGGCCCTGGCTGGATTCGAACCTGCCAGCTCTGGTATGTAGCTGGTGCCTTATCCGCTTGAGCTACAGGCGCTGAGTTCTTATTCCAATATTTCAAACGTGCAAAGGATTCTCTCAAGAGATGCAAAATAAAAACACCTGATAAAACATCTGGAGCAACCCCAGAACCCACAGGGAAGTGAGGAGGAGCCTGAGGCTTTGGGGAGAGTGTCTTGGCTAATCAGAGTATCATTCAATCTGTCAGGGAGGCAGAGACAGTTTGTGGGTACCTGAAAAGGAATGTCATAGATTCAACAAACACTTGGGTAGGGAGTTGGTTATGGACTGGGCCAGTGTCTGAGAAAAACCGAGGACTGAGATGGTCCCTGTACGGAGGAGACATTCAGTCAGGAGGGAAGAAAAATGGGTTAAAGGATCTCAATCTAGTAGAAGTACCATGAAGGGCAATCAACTCAGGCACTCAGGGGAACAGCCCAGAGAATGTGACATTTGGGGCTGGGCCTTGAAGGAAGGGCTGGAGTTGCCACAAGGACAAGGCAGGGGGAGGGCATCCCAGGCGGAGGGACAAAGGGCTGCCTGTTGAAGGGCAGGAAGGCATGAAGGAGAATGGTGTGTCCACAGGGTATGTGGGAGGAGAGTCCTGCTCATGGGACCTGTGACCTCGGATACCATGGCGGGCTCCAGAGGTGCAGCACCTAGTGCTGCCTTTCCCAGGCAAAGCCTCTTGCCCACACTGACCATGGCCCTCTGGCTTTAACCACCCCTCCAGTTCTTGTTTCTCTATCCAACCTGGCCTACTCAGTTGAGCTCTCTCTATGGGCCCATGGGACACTGCACTCCCACCACAGGGACCTCCATAGGCAAATCACCTCAGAACCCCAGGATGCTCTCTCCTGTAGTGGGAACTTTATCTGTGAAGTAATGATCATACTTCAAAAGGACCTCATACTGAAGCACTTTTTTTTTTGAGACAGAGACTTAAGCTGTCGCTCTGGGTAGAGTACAGTGGCATCACAGCTCACAGCAACCTTTAACTCCTAGGCTCAAGCAATTCTCCCTGCTTCCGCCTCCCAAGCAGCTGGGACTACAGGCGCCTGCCACAATGCCCAGCTATTTTTTTGCAGTTTTTGGCCAGGGCTGGGTTTGAACCTGCGACCTCTGGCATATGGGGCCAGCACCCTACTCTTTTGAACCACAGGCGCCACCCAACAATGCCCAGCTTTTTTTTTGTTTGCAGCCATCATTGTTGTTTGGCAGGCCTGGGCTGGATTCGAACCCACCAGCTCAGGTGTATGTGGCTGGTGCCTTGGCCACTTGAGCCACAGGCACTGAGCCACTGAAGCACTTTTTGTTATTGTTTTGAGTCAGGGCCTCACTTTGTCATCCAAGCTGAAGTGCAGTGACTTGATTATAATCATAGCTCACTGTAGTCTCGGACTCCTGTACTAAAGTGATCCTCCTGCCCTGGCCTCCCAAAGTGCTGGGATTACAAGTGTGATGCAACATACCAGGCCCTGATCTCAGTTTTAATGACTCTGTAATACCTAGGCCTTGTCAAACAAGCTTTCCAGATTGATGGGACGCCACTGCTAAGGGTGTATGGAGGAAATGGAAGAGGGACAGATGGGAAGGGAGGGGAATGCTCCTGAGTACCTGTGTGCTCTGTAGCTCACTTTGGCAGCCACCCTGGGGGATGGGTGTAACTGTCCCCATGTCGCTGATTAAACAAGTTCAGGTTCAGAGATGTTCCCAGTGGCACATGGCTGGTAAGTCAGGATTGGGGCTGGCCTCACAGAATGCCAAAGCTCACACTCTTTCCACACCACTGCCAAGCCCTGCCAAGTCCTGGCAGCTAATTAAGCAGGGAGGGTGGTGGGCATCAGACCAAATGCCAGGCTGCTGAGGAGCTAGAGGTGGTTTCCACTGAAGAGTGAAGAACTAGAGTCAGAAGTGAGGTCAGCGGGTACAAACTAGGAAAACAGAAGAGGCTCTAATGGGTCAATGTCAGGACATAGGAGGGAAGAATCAAGCTGCCACTCTCACAGGGCTGAGTATAGAATGATCTTAGGAGCATCCTAAGTCACAGAGCACAAACTGACAGCTTATAAACTGTGTAGGCCAGCAGATATGCATAGCCTACACAGTGTTTCCAAACATCATGAACTAGTTGTCAAAAATTGGAAGAGGCGGGCACTTGAGGCCTGTGATCCTGCCTGGCCATCCCTAGAGGTCTTTTTTGAGGCATGGCCCAAAATTTGCAGGCATGCCCTTGGCCTGCTTACTGTTTACCCCAACCAGCACCAGGGTTTGAGGATTCCTGGAAAATGGCATGATGGTCCACAGGGGCCTGGACATGTCTGTTTCCACCTTGCCCACTATGTACAGGCTCCCAACTAATGGGGCTTTGACCATTTTCGAGATGGCAGCTCACAAAGCTATGTGTCCCTGGGCCTGTCACCTGACTATCTTTATAGAAGTAAGTTGGGCAGAGCAGAGGAGTACAAATGCAAGGTCAGAAGACTCTCCCTGCTGCAAGCACAGGGAGTTCAAAGACACCTCAGGTGCACAGGAAACACCAAACAGCAAACCCATAGTAAGTTCTTCACTCACCTCTTGGCCCAAGTAAAGCATAGACTTTGCTCCTTCAAACTGTCAAACAACACTGGAGGAGCCATATTCAAGAAAACATTTATAGGTAAGCATGGCTGTAGAAACAGAGACTGGTTTTCTTGGGCCTCATAAAACTAGCCTGTTGCTTTCCTGCCACATGTCACACTGGTTGGAATAATCCTATGGGGCTGTGGCCACACAGCAGGGTCTGTACAGGCCTTGGGAAGCTTTGACCTTGGAGGTCCAGATGATGAGGGTGTCTGCTTTCTGTTAAGTCCTTATCAGCTTCAAAGGAATTCAGAATCCACCAGTACAGTAGACCCTGGATTAAGGCCACAGTGTTTTGTTCCTTTTTTTTAAGACATCTCACTCAGTTGCCCTGGGGCTAAGGGCCATGACATCATAGCTCACAGCAATCTCAAACTCTTGGGCTCTTGTCTCAGCTCCCCTACTCCCCAAGTAGCTTGGATTATAGATGCACACCACAATATGGGCTATTTTTAGAGACAAGGTCTTACTCTTGCTCAGGTTGGTCTTGAACTCATAAACTTAAGCAATCCACCCACCTTGGCCTCCCAGAGTGCTAGGATTACAGGCGTGAGCCACCATACCTAGCCAGGCAACCATGTCTTAAACACCTTGCTGTCACTGCAATTTTCCTATTTGTGTCTTTCTACCCAATAAAGGCAAACGGGACTCCCAGGTGAACGGATTAAAAGGACCCATATTACGAAGGCTGGCCAATGGCTCCTAGTCCTGGCCAAAGATGACAGCCAGCTAGACAACCTTCTGTCGCTGAATTCTCTCCCAATCCTAATACCTCAGGTACTTTAAAAAAGAATCAAAAACTAATTTTTTTTTTTTTT